TTCCTGGCTTTTAATCCCCTTTCCCCTGCTCTTCTGGCCTGCTTCTTCAGGCGTCCCTGAGTTGTCTCTCCTCACCTGTAACCCTGGGGCTGACTGCTCTTCTGTCTGGGTTCAAGGCTTTTATCCCCTTCCCTGCTCTTCTGGCCTGCTACTCTGGCATCCCTGCATTGTCTCTCCTCACCTGTAAGCTTGGGGCTCAAGGTTTTTATCCCCTTCCCTGGTCTTCTGACCTGCTACTCTGGCGTCCCTGTGTTGTCTCTCCTCACCTGCAAGCCAGCTTTTTTTTCCCCCCAACTCAAGCCAAACTCATAGGGTCCCCTCCTTGGGTTTCCGAGGCATTATCACTATGGAAGTATATTGCCCAACCTTCCTTCCAAGAGTGTGTTATTTGGTTTCCATGTATTAGATTTCCTTTTTCCTTGATTTTCCTATTGTTGATTTCTAATTTTATAGCATTATAATCTAAGAAGACACTTTATAGTATTTTGATGTTTTCAAATTTGTTGAGGTTTGCTTAGTGCCCTAATATATGGTACATTCTGGAGAAAGTTCCAGGTACACTGGAAACAAATGTATATTGTGCTGTTGTTGAATAGAGCATTCTGTGTACATCTCCGACACCTAGCTAATTGATTATATTGTTTGGATCTTCTGTATCTTTTTATATTTCCTTTCTAGTTGTTCTTTACTTCATGCAAAATGGCATATTAAAGTTTCCTGTCATTGTTGTGGAGTTGTCTATTTCTCCTCCAATTCTGTTAAAGTTTGGTTTATATACTTTGGGGTTCTTTCATTGGTGTGTACGTATTTGCTATGTGTATATCCTCTTGTTCAATTGACCATTTATTCATTATATAATGTCCATTCTTGTCTCTTTTGATGGTTTTTGTCTTAAAGTCCATTTTATTGGAAATTAATATTGTCACTTCTACACTTTTTTGGTTGCAATTTGCTTGATCTATGTAATCTTACCAGTTTTAATGCTTACCAGGCCCAAGAAAGTTGAGCTCATTTTGAGGCCCAAGCATGGATTATTATTGATTTGTAGGAAATTTCTAATAATCTCAGGCAAATATTTCACACTAAATTTAATTAAAAATGCAAAGTAACTTTATTTAATTTTTTGTCTAACTTAATAAAGCTCCAGACAAGATAAGTAATGAAACCTCCATTGGAGGCCTGAAACATCACATGAAAAGTTTCATTCACATAGAGCCACAGTCACCTTAATTTTCTGAAACCACATGACATGTGTTATTCTTCAAATACTGACCAATAGTTTTGCCTATGATCACAATTACATCATTTTTCCACAGCTGGGATATTTTACTCATCTACTAAGAGACCACACATCTCCCCATCAGTTTCTTGAGAGCAGCTACCACCTCTTTGTTCCTCAGGCTGTAGATGAGGGGGTTCAGCATGGGGGTGAGAATATTGCTGAAAACAGAGAGAGCCTGATCCTGCTCTGCACTATGAGATGAAGTGAAAGTCATGTAGATGAATATGTTTGGACCAAAAAAGAGACTCACCACAGTTAAGTGGGAAGAACACGTGGCCAGGACTTTTTTCCTGCCCTTGACAGAGTTCATATGGAGGACTGTGAGGAAAATGAGGGTATAGGAAGCTGTGATGAGACTGAAAGGCACAACAAGCAGCACAATGCTTGTCACAACCACCACTAACTGATACACTGAAGTATCTTCACAGGAGAGCTTAATGAGGACTGGGACTTCACAGAAGAAGTGGTGGATCTCCCGTGATCCACAGATGGGGAAATGCATAGGGTAGACTGTATGTATAAATGAACTTACTGAGCCTCCAATCCAACATGCAGCAACCATGTGCAGACAGAAACTGGGGCTCATGATGGTGGAATAACGCAGTGGGTTGCAGACAGCTACATAGCGATCATAAGCCATGAGGGTCAAGATGAGGCACTCTGACATTCCCAACATCAGGAAAAAGAAACTCTGGGTTCCACAGCCAATCCATGATATGGTCCTTTCCTCCACGAAATAGTTATAGGCCATCTTTGGGACAATGGTGGATGTTAATGACAAGTCAATGAGGGAGAGTTGACTGAGGAGAATGTACATGGGTGTATGAAGCCGGGAGTCTCCTGAAATCAGGATAATCAGAAGTACGTTCCCCAGGAAAGCAAGGATGTAGACAAAGATGATCATGGAGTTGAGTATAATGGAATGCTGAAACTCAGGAAAGAGTCCCACAAGGATAAAATCAGTTATTGAGGATTCATTCTTACCCATCATGTCTCTAAAAGAAACATAACAGGGCTAGGAAACAGATCAAATGGATTATGATAATTTATATTCAATATTGCTTTTATGTCAATCTGTGGATCAAAATTTTATATATTCATCCTCAATTCTTATCTCTGAAATAATATTGGACATCAACTCATCACATATTTTATCATATATTGTTAAATGTTGCCTAAAATTATATCAAATATAAAATATTAAGAATAGTAAAGATCTCTGTGGTGCAATGAGTAAGGCATTTGGATGATGACCAGAAGATCAGCAGTTCAAACTCACCAGTTGCTCTGCAGGAGGAAGAAGAAAAATTAACTTCATTGCTTCTTAGCCTTTGTTGAGTTTCCCTTTTTTGCCTTTCCTTCTTTCTTCTTCCCTTTCTTTATTTCCTCTCTTAATTGATTTTTTAGAGAATCTTTGGAAAATTATGGATCTGCTTTCTAGAAATATGCACCTAAAATTTTCTAATGGCCATGAACTCTGGCTATTAACTGTAGGTATACTTGGCCAAAAAGGGGAAAAAAAACTAATTAATCCATTAAATTTCATTTTAGCAGTTTCAAATAAATTATTTAGCAAAAATTTTCTATCCCATCAATTTACTTTTCTCTTTTTGGCTACTTGCCAAATATCATAGTAGAAATTATCAGTTTTACATAATTTTCCTGCTCAGAAGCCATCAGTATTATTTATTACTGACCAAGTAAAGTTTATATTTCTTAGTCTAAAATATTATGTCTTCCATGAGTTTAACCCCGCCTACCTTATGAAATTTATGTTCTGTTATTTTTAAATTCATAACTGAAGCTCCAGCCAAATGGGTAACTTCATGGTTCCTCTACATGACTTGCATCTGTACTTTTGTTTTTCTTTCTTCTCAGGATCCTATCTCTCACTTCTATTGTTGGAGTCCTATTCTTCACTCTTCTAAGATTATTCAAATATAACTTCTTCTGGAAGAGCATTCCTGAACCTTAATGGTTCAAACCCACCAGCCACTCCATGGAAGCAAGACTGGGCAATCTACTTCTGTAATGATTTATCACCTCAGAAACCCAAAGAATTCCCCATCTACTCTTCTATAGTCCCTTAATTGTTTCATACTTGCCATCATTTGGGAGCTCTGGTAGCATAGTGCCTAAGGCATATGACTGTTAACCAGAAGGCTGACAGTTCAAACTCACCAGTCACTCCTTGGAAGGAAGGTTGGGCAATCTACTTTAGTAGTGATACCGCCTCAGAAACCCAAGGAGGGGTTGCTATAAGTTGAGTTCAACTCGATGGCAGTGAGTTTTGAGTTGCCATCATTTATTAGCATATCTGAGTGGCATTGTATATACTATAGGCATTTACTCTCCATTCATTTTTTGTTCTACATCTGCTGAATGTTCACTATGTTTTATAGATAGAGATAGATAGACCAGGGCTAGATTGTCTAGACTCAAAGCCCAGCTCCATAACTTACTACCTGTGCTTATCTTTCCTGATCTTCAAAACAAGGAGATTAATCAAACAGCCTCATGGGATAGTTGTGAGGCTTAAATGAGTTAATTCAAATAAACCACTTATCACAATGCCTGCACACAGATGTTAGTATTGCAGTTTTATTATATATTTCTATATATATAATTTCTCCCAAACAGTTTTTGATTTGAATGCTAAACTTATATTTTACTTATCTATATACCAATAGAGGAGCTCTGTTGGTGTAGTGCCTAAGGCATTTGACTGCTAACCAGAAGGCTGGTGGTTCAAACCCACCAGCCACTCCTTGGACAGAAGGTTGGGCAATCTACTTCCATAATGACATGGCCTCGGAAACCCAAGGAGGGGTCACTACAAGTTGGATCCAAGTCAATGGCAGTGAGATATACCAATAGGAGCTCTGGTAGCACAGTGCCTAAGGTATCTGACAGCTAACCAGAAAGTTGGTGATTCAAAGCCACCAACCATTCCAAAGAAGCAAGAATGGACAATGTACTTTTATAAAAGATTTATCACCTCAGAAACCCAAAGGGGATCACTATGAGTTGGAATCAACTCAACGGCAATGGTTTTTTTTTTTTTTTTTTGGTTTTTTTTCTTTTGGTTTTATATGCCAATAACACCAACATAACTTGAAAAAAGTATGTATCCAATAAACATGTATTAATCAGGTTGAACCAGCTCTGTGGAGTTTGTTCAATACACATTTTCAGGTAGACAAAAACCCAGACAGGAATTGCCTTCTTTGTGAGAGCTAAAGCTTTCCCTGTGTAATCTTGTTGAAAAATTGGATCCCCATTCTAATCTGACTGAAACAACTGTGCATGTGGAAATTTCTTTATGCACAGACATTTTCTAGCAGAACTGTGTTAAAGCAGCACACATGTCAAAACACCTGGGAATCCTATTTTCTATTATTGAAACAGATAATTTCTTAATGTAAAGCAATGTTGTCCTCTGATTTCAGTCAATTGTTGTTTTCTAGAAATGTAAATCTTACAAATAAAATAAGCTGTTAAGAATAACTATCATTTTCATCATGAAAACATATGAAATATAGTTAATTTTTAATTAAATTTTGTAATTAATGAGCACCAAACACTGATGTTGCTGAAAGTTATAGCCACATAATTTGGAAAAGATAGTTTAAATAGTTCTTGAAAATGTATACTCTCCATACATTTTTTGTACTACATCTGCTGCATATTCACTAAATTTCACATATTCTATTAGATGCTAAGGAGGAGACAACAATGAATTAGGACATGATCTATGTCTTCAGTAACCTCTGAATTTAGATATGGAATCATTCATATATTTCACCACTTCCAAAGGGGTGAAATAAATGCTATAACTAAGGTTCCTTTAGAATGCTGTAACACAGAGAAGAGAACTGTAAATGAGGGCTAGAGAATTAGGTAAGAGTAGTGCCTAAGGCATTTGACTGTTAACCAGAAGCTGGCAGTTCAAACCCACCAGTCACTCCTTGGGAGGAAGATTGGGCAATCTACTTCTGTAGTGATACTGTCTCAGAAACCCAAGGAGGGGTCACTATGAGTTGGATCTGACTCCACGGCAGTGGGTTTCCTTTTTGTTTTGGAATGTCTAAATTAGGGCATAGCAACTCATGGAAATGTGAAGAACTGAAGCAATGAAGGGTTTGTCATGGTTAAAAACACAAATCAACAGATTATGAGAGTCACATGCATAAGCAAGTGAGAAACAAGTTGACATTCTTACTCAGATTTTTATTCAACCCATTTGAGCTAGATAACTCTGAAAGTTTATAATCTTCTCATTCATGCAAAATCTCTTAGAATTCACACTTATATATTTATATTAGCCGTATTGCTTGGCCTGCCATTTTTCTTCACTAAACTGAGTAATCCATGTGTCCATTGATGACTTACACTGATTTCTTCTGTCTGCTAAAAAGACTTGATGACTCTTGTAGAACAAAGATAATCAAAGACCTCTACCATTAGGAGAATATGACAAACAAATGCAGTGTAGCACATTCTATGTGCTCAAAACTTGCCTTCCCTTATAACGATTACCAGTATCATTATAGCTGCTTTGTTCTACCATCTTCTCTAGGTCTGTATTCCAACTTTCCATTATATAAACCGTGAATCAAAGGGAATAAATTTATAATTTTGAGATTTCACATGTCAAACATATGAGACACACAGATGATAGAGTAAAGGTGCTAATGTTTAATAATTCAGAAACCAAACATTAAACTTGAGTAAAGGGAAAGCATCCAAATGTGTTTAATTCATTTTTGTTTTCATCATTACTTTTGTGAATACTTAAATATTTACTGAATACATCATAAATATTTACCAACTAATAAACAATTCCTAAAACAAATTATGGGTCACTTTCAGGAAATAAAAATAATATATGCACAACCAAACTAAGAAAATATTCTTTGAATATAAAATCAGCTGTCATTCAATAAATATTTCTGAGCTGTTAAATTATTCCTGCAACAATAAAACACATTTTCTAATTTAAATCAACTCCATGGAATAGATATTTATTAAGAATTAACTCTAAACATGTTTCCATGATTTCTTCTGTGTAAGAGAAAATAGAGCAACTCAAAATGAAGAGTGCAGTATTACAGTAGTTAACCTATAGAATTTTGTTACCCTTTTTCAAAGTTTCCAAACGATGACATTTATGTCATGTGAAGAAGATTTCATGCCTGTATTCTTAGTCTCATTTCATGTTGTGTCTATGTGGGTACATACAAGGCAGTTGAAAGAAAATCATAATTCATCACCAAACAATTTTTCTAAAAGCAATTAGCTGAATTCAAGGGATAATACTCCAAAACCAAACCAAACTCACTGCCATTGAGTTGGATTCAACTTATAGCAGCAACCTTTCCTTGAGTTTCCGAGGTGGTATCACTATGGAAATAGATTGCCCAGTGTTCTTAGGAGTGGCCAGTGTTTTTGAACTGCCAGCCTTCTGGTTAGCAGTCAAATGCCTTAGGCACTATGTTACCAGAGCTTGGTTACTAAGTTAGGCACATCCTTGAATATGTCCTATTAAAAAAAAAAAAAAAAAGGTAATTCTCATTCTCTAACAATGGATGCAAGCATAGCAAAGATAGTGAAGATGACACAGGACTGGGCAGTATGCCCTGCTGCTGTACATAGGGTCCCTATGAGTCAGAGTGGACTTGTCCACACCTAACACACCATTTCACGCAATATCATGAGTGGTGCCTGCCCCAAAAGTTGCTGGTTTTGATCAGACAAAAGTATTATGACACCATTGTTTGGTTGTTAAATTCATGCAGGTAATCAAACAGAAATATTATGATTCCATACAGCTTTGCTCTAGACCTGAATCCTAGGCAGGCTACCAAATTTACATCAAAACTGCCAGTCTCCAAAACCTGACAATTGTTAGACTTAACATCAAGCATACCCATTGTCTACAGAATTTCCATTACCAGTCAAGGTTCAGAAATTTTTTCTCTAGCTTGCTAC